TATAATTTACTAACAAAGAGCCAAAGGGAAATTCCAAAAATGAAAAAATAAAATAATTGAACTCTTTACACTTTATTTTTATATGGTATAAGCAGATAAAGTAAAAGTTTATATTTGGAGAGTGTTGTTTTGGTTTTTTTTTTTTGTTTTGGTTTGTTTTTGTTTGTTTGTTTGTTTTTTCCTGTTCTGGGAATTGAACTCATGACCTTGCACTTGCCAGGCAGGCGCTGTGCTGCTGAGCTAAATCCCTAGCCCCTAGCACTGGGATTATTTGGGACTGCAGGAACTAAAGAACTTCGCTCAAGCTGTCAAGATGGGAGAAGCCTAGCCATACAGTGCACGGCTGTGCCTTTGCTCCCATGAGGTGGAGGAAGCCACTTTAAATGCTCTGTGGGGAGTACTGTAGGTGTCTAGAGCTGGAAGAGCAGACCATCCTACTTGGTCACAGAGGAATACTTGGGCGTGTTAGGGAGGCTTTGCCGATGGCTGAGTTCAAAGTTTGGCAGAGGCAGGCCCCAGATAAAGAGGTTTGTGCATCTCACAGGTCTGCGCAGGTGCTGATATGTGGCCAGGAGTGCTGGGAAGGCTGAGGGAGGCTGGCAGGGACTCCATCTAGCCTCAGGACTAAACTTCATGTTCTTTAGGCGTCTTCCTTCTCAGCAGAGGTATAGGATCAGCGGTCCCTTGGTGGGTGGCACTGATCACCAGTACAGAGCTGTATCCTCCACAGATGACCATTCTGTCCCTCGCCTGATCTGGTTCGTGGGGTCTGAGTGTCCTGTTGCACTTAGCCCCATGGGGTGACTTGGGGAGCTGCTGGCTCATCAGGGTCCTGAAACAGCTGTGGGGGGCCGGGCAGCAGGGCAGGAATGAGGAGCAGCAATGGTGTCTGTGATCTTGGCCTTAGGGGTGGAAGTGTGGTGCTCGCCCCCATGGTGCCCAGCGGTTCTGTCTGGACTAGAACTTCCTAGAGCTGCCTTCTTCAAGACAGCCTGGCCTAGAAGAGCCCAGAGGCCTGGACATAACTCCTGCTTAGCAGGGCTGGGTCTGTGGATGGGTCAGGAATACCTGGGCCCAACCAGTAGGATATGGGAAGCCCCACCGTTACTGGTGGGTTCCTCTGAGTGTTGATGTCTCCAGAAAGAGTCCTCAAGCCCCACTCTCCCCACTGTGGTCAGAAACAGCAGTGTCTGAGATGATGGGGGGGAACCAGTGGTGTGTGGGGGCAGGAACGGGCAAGTGATGACCATGGCTGGTATCCTGTTCTGCCCTTCTGATGTGATTCCCACCCTACTCTCTGCCCTCAGCTCCAGGGCGTGGACACAGGCACACAGATCTCACTGGGTCCTGGGCCTTCAGGCAGCTCCTGCCCCACCTTTTGAGAGGTGGTGCTAGGTCTGGCTCTTGTCGTCCTGCCAGCATTACAGAGGTGTGAATCCACGTCTCTTTTGCTGGTTTTCAAGCCACCCATGTCCGTTCCACCAGAGGCAGGGTGCCTGCTTCTTGGGGAAGGATGTGCAAAGTGTGCCTCTTGACTGGTGCCTTAGGGGCTCTGGGACACTAAGCGAGGCAGCCTCGCACCACTGTCCACCCTTGCTTCCCCATCATGGCTGGGAATGAGAAGCTCAGAGAATGGGCATGGGGCTTTGTGAAAGTCATCTTAGAAAACTCAGCTCATTTCTCCATCCATTTTCATTCGATATGAAAGGAGCACAGAATCCAAGGGCCACGGATATTCAACAGCCTTTGAGAAGTGACGGTTTCTATTGGCGGGCAGAAAGTTAGTTTCACGTCTCTGTCCCTTTGGGTGTGAGGAGAGGCAGGCACCTCTGTGCCCGGGCATTTCTCCCACATCCCAACCCAGGCAGCGTGTCGGCTTGTGCTGGGGACACAATGCTGCTGCTTCTTCAGAACAGCACCCTGACTCTCATGGGCTGGCAAGGGAGCGGGCATAACTGCGCTGTGGTGGTGTCTTCTGTGGCACCTGGCCATCTCTGAGAGCATAAGTGAAGGAACTTCTCCTGGGCCGAAAAGAAAAGCCAGGGCAGATTTACATCCTGCTCACTGTGGGTACGAATGGGTTCTGGGGTCAGGAGGCCCGCCCAGGGTGTGCAAACAGGTGAGGCGGCTGCATGCAGCCCTGCGCCCCTCCGTTCCAGTGATGGCACCTCAGCACCTTGTCCTGCAGGTGCCATCATTTCAGGGACTCAGATGGACTGACAGAGGGGCGGGTGCGCAGGCCTCGGGTTCCCAGCTTGCCTGTAGCTTCCTGTGGCTCATCCGCTCCTCTCCCAGAGTTCCTGGCACTCCAGGTACTCCTGCACGTGAGTGCTGTCTAGGGGAGGGACTCTTCACACACACACACACACACACACACACACACACACACACA